ACACACACACACACACACACACACACACACACACACACACACACACAGGAAACAGTTAGAAAAGAAGCCAGAACTTTCTCTTGAAGTTCTGGGTCTGAGACTAGGATCCCCAGACCTTCTTCTTTAGAAGAGGCAAGGAGTCTGGGGACTTCTCTAGCATTCCAGGAGCATCCATGAGAACGTCTCTGTTAACTGACATGACTTTGGAGTCAGCATTGGAGTCCGAGTGACGCTCAGAATCGCAGGGCCTGTTGATGGCAGGATTGGGCTGATAAGAGAAAGTACTTGGCAGCTGTGCTGCCATCTGTAGCTGGGGCAGAGGTGGGTGTGCAAGCCCAGTGGGCAGACCTATAGAGCCTACGAGAGTGGCTTCTATATCCATCAGGTTCATTACCCCCAAGCTGTGTGTGTGTGTGTGTGTGTGTGAGAGAGAGAGAGAGAGAGAGAGAGAGAGAGAGAGACTGAGAGAGAGAGAGGGAGAGACAGAGACAGAAAGATCGTGTGTGTCTGTCTACATGCTACATATGTAGTCTAGTCTAACTCAAGCTACCTTAAGCTCTACCAAAGTCACTTAGTTCAGTTCTTGTGGCTGAAAAGGTCCCCGAAACATTTCAGCGAAATTATAGCTTCTTAATTTAACAACCTGTCACTTAACTTCTTTCCAGGTGGTTTCAGGTTGACAGTGAGTTTGACATTTGCACAAACGTTTAGGAAGCCATTTCCGACACTTTGAAATAAGAAGGAATCTAAAGGACATTTACTTCGGGAAGCATGAGAGGCATTATTTTTCTGGCCACTCCAAATCGAATCTCTCTCTTGGCCACAGTCCACGGACTCAAAGGCCAGTGATGGGCTGTAAAACTGTGGCTACTCCTAAGCTTCTGTGACTCCCTTCCTGCCCCGATGCCCTTCACTGCAGCAAGTTCGGCTTTATTTGGGCACAGCTAAGGTGAAAGCATTTCCATGTTTTTCAGGATTCTGTTGGATAGGAGGCCCTTATGGGCTGTCGTCATGCATGCACCCCACTCTCTTCCCAGGGGCTCAGGAGGGGGGAGGCAAACACACTCACAGTCTTGATGTTTACTCTTGTCTGTGACCTGGGGTCACCCCTGCTCCAGGCAGCCACACACTAAAATGTTATGACATTCACCTGCCTATTACATAATAGCTATGAGCATAGACCTTGCAGTTTAATTTAGCCTGGCATATAGGGCTGTGCCATCCTGAACAACATGTGACGATTCCTCTGTGCCCTTAAGGGAAGGGAGGGGCGGTAGCTCCCGATTTGAAATAGAAGCACGTCCTTATCCTCAAGCCGCTTGCTCTGCCACCTTCAAATCGCTGCAGATCACAGCCAGGCCCCGTGCCATGCTGGCAATGCAGGACAGCCACCAGGCAGATCTTGTGGTGGTCTGTCCACGAGAACCTTTCCGGGAGACCTCACCACAGAAATGAGGGCACAGGTTGTTTTCTCTACTCTCCTTGGGGAGGACAAAACGGTGTCCAGAGAGAAGCTCTCAGCCCAGGCTGTGCATGGGGTCACTGGTGCTTAGAAGCCCCCAGCCAAAGTCAGATATTTAACCTGGTTGTTTTTGGAGTGTGGCCAGGTAGAGAACCCCTGTGAGGTAAGAGTCATGTCAGCGCTATCTGGGAACAATGAAAAAAAAAATGAATGATTCCATGGCTCACCAGGATGTTTTGTTATCGAAGGTACCATTAGAATGGAGTCTCAGGGTTTGAAAAAGCTGATTATGCTCAACTCCGAAGAGGGCAGAGAAGTAGGAAATCGGAGCCTAGGAACAGGGTAAGGCAAGGGAACGAGATTGGGGGAGGATTCTGCCTTTATCAACCAAAAGGGTGGGATGGGAACCCCAGCAGATATGGAGGGGATCTTATGGTGGGCTTGGAGGTTCTGGTCAAATCAGTTCAGTGAGATTCTTGTTAAAGCTGGATGGTATAGGGAGAAACGTAAAAGCCCAAAGTCAACAGCTTGTTCAGAACAAGGATGATCAGAACGCCACAGTGCAGGAGGAAGCAGAAGTATAAAGGGTGGAAGGCAACCCCCATGGTCTGGCCCTCCTGGGATGAGCAGCCTGACAGTGTACAAGACCCCTCTGCTGTTGGGATCTTACAGGGTGATCCCTGGCCTTCGTGTAAGGTTTGGCATGGCCGAGGCTTGCAGGGCAATCCACATGGAAACTTCCAAGCAGCAGTGAGGAGGTATGGATAGAGTGTTACCCACACGGGAGGTATTGGCACTGAAGTGGCGTCTGCAGGCACAGGTGAGTCATGAGTGTTCACCAGTCAGGGAAGACATTCAGTCAAGGTGAGAGACAGAACAGCAGCAACTGCTCTACAAAGAGCAAAGGGGAAGCTTGCAAAGGTGACCAGAGGGGAAAGTGACAATGGTGCATTGGTAGACACCCGCTATGGCATGAATAGGGGTGTCCTTGTGTGCTCCTGGTGCAGTGTATCCTGCAGTCGTCTGGATTGTGTGTATGTGGTACTAATGGCCGCCCTGCTGGGTCATCCGGCCAGCTGTCCTCCAGGATCTGGCTATGCTGTATGCTGTCCAGCTAGCCACTGTCCCCATCCTCACCCACCACAGGAAGCCCATGGCCTCCCAGAGCATTTGGGACAAGATAGAAGGCAAAGTGAACATTTATAGAATAAGGCAGTCATGGTGGTGTGTGCCTTTCATCCCAGTACCCCCTAGGCAGAGGCAGATGGATCTGTGAGTTCAAAAAACAAGCCTTATCTACGCAGCAAGTTCCAGAATGTGAGACTTGTTAGAGAGTAGAGACTGTAGCTCTCCTGCTGTTTCTGTGCATTGTAGCTTATTTGAGCCTCCATTTTGAAGATGAAAAACATTACAGACATAAGATCAAATCTAAAAAAAAAAAAAAGAAAAATACCCACAGTGGGACTGAGGACATGGCTCAGTTTGCGAAGTGCTTGCTACACTAGCATGAGGACCCCAGTTCAATCCTCCACAATCACCTCCATTCTGCTCTTGGTCCAGAGCTCCACTTTCTGCTTTCATCTTTCCCTTCTACCCTCTCCCGAGATCTGGTTTATGGTGTTCTTTTTGCTGTGGGTAAATGCCCTCAGCAGCCAAGCATGTTCTGCAATTACAACACCCCGGTGGCTAAGCATGTCACTGTGAGTCTACATCATGCTGGAATCAGCACTGTGGCCCGTGGCCATCACCGTCCCCATCGCCCCTTGTTTTGCTCATGGATGGTATTAGAGGAGTAAAACTAGATGACTTCAAAAGGCTGTTTCCACCCTAAGAAAATGACCTGTATGCCTGGGACATGCACTTCATGACAAGGGCAAGGCCTTTCTCACTACCCAGAGGTGTCCCACGTGCCAGAAGAATTTGGGAGCATCGGAAAGCAGCCTCCCTACCCCCAGAGCACTTCTATTTAGCATGAGAAGCTAGGAGGCCCTTCTGCTTGGGTGGTGAGTGAGCTACCTGGCTGCCTGCTCCTGGCTCCGGTTGGATTGGTTGGATGGTACCAGGTTGACAGTTTCCTCCACAAGGGTGGACACATCTTTGCTGCCTTGTTTTCCATAGTGCAGTTTTTAGACACAGGGCCCGAGTGCTAATGTGTGCTGTATAGTTGACAGGAGTCTCTTAGGTTTGGGTGAAAATGGGCTTGCCTTCTAGGCACAAAAATACCACGTCAAAGGGAATGGCACAATAGTTCTGTGCATGGCATGTCCACACAAGGCTCTGGACACAGGCGAACCCCATGTTGGGACTAGTGCCTTGGTGTTGTTGGAGACCGTGGCAGTGGTGCAAACAGAATGTGTGCTTTGTGGCTGGCCTGGAGATGATCTGTAGTATTCAACTGCCATGCAGACTTGTGCTCAGGGGTGGCCTAGATACAGCCTGGCGTAGCCTCTAACCCGTGCAGAGGCAGCTGCCGTTACATCATCAGCACACGGGTATGGCTGGACAGCTCCATGACTAGCAAGTAAATGTGCATGGACTTGAATCAGGATGACTTTGTGACTGTTCTTAGGGTCCCATGTGTGACTGGGCACAAGGTCACTGTGTAGGTTCCACATCTGTATGTGAGTAAGGCTCGCATGAAAATGCTGCATTTGTGCTCATGAGAGCTGCAGGGCACCCAGGGAATAGATAACCGGATAGCTGGCTCATGGGACTTATGCAGCATAAACGTTCGAGAATCAGCAAATGGGGCAGACCCTAAGACCACAACCACACCCGTGTTCACACTGGGTTTCTAGGGAGCTGATAGCCACGGACAGCTCTGCAGTTGGTATGTTTAGACTGACCCCTAGGTATTGAATCACTTCTTCTTCCTTCTCAGAGCTGTTCTCGTGATTCTTTCCAGAAGAAAGAGGCGGGTTGGTAGTTCTTTTATAGGGAAGCCAGAGTTAGTATTAGGCACCTGCGCTGTTGGAAGCTAGAACCTATGGTCTCACAGACAATAGTCTGTGTTTTCAAAAGAGCAGTCCCCAGGTACCAGAGCTTCTACCAGGAGGAGAGGCAGAGACTCTGAGCCTCCCCTCCCCCATCCTCTTGTGCAGCCCAGTGAAGGGGATGGCTAGAATGTTAACAACAAAATCTTGCTTACCATCCCAGGCCTCCATAAATGATCACTGAATCACTTGCACTGACAAGCCCACTTCTTAGACCACTGGGGTAAAGCCAAACACTCTAAACACTTAGCTGTATTTAGGGCAGGAGATTGCTATAGATCTCCTGAGAGCTCCAGGACCTTGTGTTCCAGAACGATAAATTGGACTAGAGGCACATGGATGGTGGCAGAAATAACATTTCTATCCCTTCGGCCTATCGGTTCATTAGGAAAAGGAAAGGACAGTGCATGGAAGCAGGTTAGTGAGCTGGGAAGGCAGGCACTCAAAGGCTCTGGGCCTCAAGATGTTCTGATTCTCTGGCGGGTCATTTGCATAGCACCAGCCTTCTTTAGAAGGTCTTTTAGGCTTTTCTTGTGCCTAGTCTGTTTAGCTACATGTAACCCATGGCCATAAGGGTTTCTGAGCTTTCTACCAATTAGCTTCTTTTTATAAAATAGAGTTTTAAATTATTCTTTGAGAATCATATATATGTAGACAATGTATTTTGATGAAATCCACCCTACCCTCTCCCCACTGCTCCTACCATTTTCCCCTCAGAACGTCATGTACGCTTTCTTTAGCCCACTGAGTCTAATTAGCTGCCAGTATGTCATGGGTATAGGGCCATACACTGTGGTATGGCCAACTAACCTGGGGCCACATCTTAGGAGAAAATCAACTCTCCCTCCCCTAGAAGCCATGAATTGCCAATGGCTCCTTAGCCAGGGCTACGGCTAAAACTTGATGATAAGACCCTATTGCTGAAGACATCATGTACTTGTATCATATGACACAAAGAAATCACAGGAACACAAAGAGGCCACGTGAACAGGGCAGGGGAGGCAGAAGGCAGAGGTCCAGGCCAGATTGCACATTGTTGCAGAACTCGAGGCAGCAGCTTGCCTGATCCACCTCAACTCTGAGCCAGGCATGCTGTGATCACTGCTCCTTCATCCATGGTGGAAATTTCGGGAAAGTCTGGATTTCCTGATTCTCTGTGCACCTTGGCTACAGAAGTTCCTTTAGTAGAGGACAGTGAAAAGGCTTCCTGAAGCCCAGGGGAAACCACACCCATCTACCCCTTATTCTTCCCAGCTTCTTTTTTGCCCTACCTGCTTGAAGAATGCTGAAGTCTGTGAGACTGTGGACAGTCCACTTTCTGCATCTTTAGAGGCAATAAAATAAAATAGGAACAAGGTGGTCTGAATCATATAGGCCTACACTGAAGTTAAACAGGGCACTTCAGAGAGATTCCTGTTTCTTTCAGGAAACAGGTTGTCCGGGTGGGCCGCGCTCAAGAGGATGCTGGCTTGTCCACACTGCTCATCAGGGTTCCATTGAAATCACTCTGCATCCTTGGCACCAACACAGCCTGCCAGAATAAAGCCCTCATAAGGCTCCAACACATGCTCTTCAGAGACGTCTCTTTCTCCATTCCCGAGCCCCGATCCCTGCTCTGTAGTCTATTTGCTATCAAGCGACAGGAGCTACGGAAGGAGACGCCACTTCTCCAAGACAGAGATGTGGCAGTTCAATGAGTTCTTATTTTCCCCCACAGGAAGAGCTTAGAGCACAAGGGGCAGTATCGTTGAAGGGAAACGTCCGTGGGAGGAAAATCAGAGGCATGGTGAAGGGACACGGGATTGAGATGGGCTTTTAAGACCATGATGAGAGCTCACATGATGGTCCCCGGCGCACGCCCCAGCTGTTGACAACTGCAGGATGAGTGCAGATAGTGGTGGGCTCTGCTGGGGAAGGACTTCAGGTGAAGCCTGCAACTTGCTGCCAGGATAACATTAACGTGTTTGTTGACTGCTCTTGGCTCTTTACTCAGGGGTGCTGTCCTTGTCAGCCAGGTATGGTGGCACAGGCCTTTAATGCCAACACTTAGGAGGCAGAGGCAAGCATGAGTTCACTGCTAGCCTGGTCTGCACAGTGAGTCTCAGGCTAGCCTGGGCCCTACAGTGAAACCTGGTCTTAAAAAAAAAAAAAAAAAAAAAAAAAAAAGCATTTCTACCTTCTGTTTTGTTCTGTTTATGTATGTTTTGTTTTATTTCTTCCTACGCTACCTTTATTTAGAGACTCTTTTTGACCATATGGAGTGCAGCCCCTTCTCCCCAAGGAACCTCCTGGATCTTGGTGAGAGGTATTGGGCAAAGACTTTCTGGAGCCTCTGGCCAAAGCTAACCAGTCTGATATTTGTGCCCCAAGTCATGGCCTCTTAGAGACTGCTGTCATTGGCTGCAATCCAAGCAGCAACATCTCAAGTGCCCACTGTGTGCCAGACTCCATCTTTTGCACCCTGGGATTCTGTGGAAGGCTTTTCCTCCCCAGATGGCTTGGAGACTAGGTTTACTGAGCTGTATAGCCACAGCTGTGTTCCTGTTTTAGCAGCAGGGAAGGACTCGGTGAAGGAAAGGTATGTTTTACCTTTATCCCCAGCTCAGCCTTCTCTTCCACCACATACTTCCTCTGACCCTGCTGTATTGCTATGAGCCCCCTCTGATGTTTATGGAATAAATTGTAGGTATAAACAAACCAAGGGTCCAAATGACTAGAGCCTTCTCTACTTGCACGTTACTCCTCTGGGACTAAACATGGGTCCTGGTACTTCACAGAAGCTCCATGAATATCCTTTGGGTTGAGCCCATTTGCAAGGAAAGACAGAAGAGCCATGAGATTGGGGGGGGCAGGATTCTGGTAGGTAGGGAAATCAGTACAGCCTATCATGGGGGAGCACTAGAGAGGCTGCCAGGGGCTGGGTGCCCTTTCCCAGCACCCTTGGCTGATCCAGGATTCAGTGGGCTGTCCAGAGGTCCCCTTTGACAGAGCCCTGCCTTCCCCATGCTGTCGTCCAGGGTGGGAGCTGAAAGCAGGCTGGCACACACCTGGAGAGCTCTAGGCTTAAGCAGAGGCCTCTCTGCCGGCGAGCACTATTGCATCTTCTCCATGCTCCATACTCTCTTGCTTTAGATTTCCATTTTAAAACATGCCACGTCCAACAGGAAGATGTTTTTGAAGTATTGGGTATCTGTATAGAATATTAATGCAAAAAACCTCACTTGAATAACACTGTGAGGTTTTTTTCCTTAATCTTTAGGACATTTTATTCCTGTTCTAAGTTAATAGAAAAATTAAAAAGACAGAGAAACGAGGCCATTGTCCAGGTGCTCTGACAAGCAGAGTAGGCAGAAACCCCTGCTCCTTCTTGAGCTAGCCTTGACCTTGGACTGTTACATCATCATCCTGATAGGCAGAGCTGACTGGGCTCAAAGTAGACTGGCAGTAATGTTATGCTTCTGATCCAAGAAAACTGATTTTTTAAGTTCTGTAGAGAAACCTACATTTTGGAGGCTGTTAAAAAAAATGTGAGTCTCGGGCTAAGAATGAAGCTCACTTGGTGGAGTGCTTGCCTAGCATACATGGAGCCCTGGGTTCAATCTCCAGCACCATATAAACCAGATATGATGGCACAAGTTGTGGTGTGTGCCTGTAATCCCAGCCCTTAGGAGGTGGAGGATCAGAAGTCCAAGGTTATCTTCGGCTACATAGCAAATTCAAGGCTAGCCCCAGACAAGGAGACCCTGTTTCAAGAAAAAAACAAAACAAAACAACAACAACAAAAATAGTGGGCCACAAAGTCAATTTCATAGACTCTCCCCATTATTTTCCAGTGCCGCCTCCAATCTAAGAAGCTGGATTCCTCTCCCTCAACCCAAAGATGATTCTATTTCCAACAGTCCTGGAGGATAGGCATTCCTACTGGTGTGAAAGGTCTGGCTACACTCTCCTTCTCAAACACCTATGGACTGCTCCCTTCATAGTGAGAGACCTGCACCCTGGCTTTGTGTCACTTCACTTACCGGTCCCCATGTTGCTTTAGGGCAAGATAACACAGGTCTCCTCCACATTTCAGCAGAGGACTCCCCTCCATGGCAGCAGGGCGGATCCCCTTGGAGCCACCGTTTCAGTAATCATCTCTTTCTCCCCAGGGTCCCTCAGATCCTGTGGATCTAGAGGTCCCCTGGGATTCCTGTGCCCTGAACCAATCCAAATTGTCAGTGTCAACAGGCAAGTGTGGAGCCCAGCCCCAGACAGGGCTCCTCTGCCTATGCAGTGTCATGCCCCTGCCTCAGTACTGAGGAGATGCTGCCTGCTGCCAGCATCTCCTCACCAGCTGCATAGCCAAAAATAAGTCCTCAGCTGTACAGGGCTGATCTTTCCGCTCCCCTTCTCCTCAGCAGCGAGAGTCCAGCAGCCTGCCAGCTGGAACTGGAGATTGGGTTTTTTTCCCCCCACCCAGCTGAAAGGAAATGTGGTGCAGTATTTTTTCCTCCCCCCCCCACCCCCATTTCTTTTTTAACCTTATTATGTCAAAGGGGTTGTCTTGTTCTTAAGGGCAAAAAATATCACCATTGCTTCTGAATCCGCTTTGAAAATAGCATTGGGAAGGGGAGGGCTGCGTCGAGCTTTTCCTGGCTCCTGGCAGAAGCACCTATCGGGGGAGGCAGACGCAGCCCTGCCGCAGTGGAAGGACCGCTCTGGGAAGGAGCCCGAGGCTTGAGTCGGGCTCAGCAGATCTGTTGCCAGCCTTGGATTGATAAAGTGCCTATTTGCACAGAGGACAGGAGCAGCTGCCTAAACTGTGGAATTTTCCAAGGGCTGCAGAACTTTAAAAGCCGGAGTTTGAAGTCATGCATTCCTTTATTTAGCAAATATTTATCGGCACCTGCTGTGTGCCAGGTTCCGGCTGGGGCTGCAAAGGTGAAAAGAGGACAGTCCCTGTCCTCGAGTGCCTCATATCCAGGGGACGAAACGGACAAGACCAGGATGAGAAGTATGCAAGATCTCCTGGGCTGAGTGTTTCGTAGGGGTCTCCACCCACTACAGCATAAGAGGCAGTGACAGGGGGACCGGGCTGGTTCCGGAGCCGGGTAGCGTCACTGGTCGTCAGGGTTGCTGTCAGGCCAGTACACTGCAGGGCTGCACCACATGTGGGAAGGACACAGCTCTGCTTCAGGGACACGGTCCTGGGGACAGTCCAGGACCATCCACCAAGAAGGTGATAACTGAGCTGCTCTGGAAACAGAGGGCAGAGCAGGGAAGCGAGGAGTCTCCCGACAAGAGAAATGATGGGAGAAGGCATGAGGATTAAAAGAATTGGGGCCAGAAGCTTTGGAGTCTGGAAAACTCTCCTTCTCCCTCTCTGTCTCCTTCTCCCTCCCTCCTTCCCTCCCTCTCTCTCTCTCTCTCTCTCTCTCTCTCTCTCTGTGTGTGTGTGTGTGTGTGTGTGTGTGTGTGTGTGTGTGTGTGTGT